TGTCGGATTTTAACCATGTCTTAGGTTTTCTGAATTTTGCAATTTAAATTCACCTAAGACTAAGGCATGATAAAAACTAATGCTAAATAAATAAATAAAATGATAAATAAATATACAAGCATAGAGTCTTAGGTTGTCCGAATTTTTCAAATTAAATTAACCTAAGGCTACGTTCCTCGCTTTAAAAAATCATTTAACAATTGATTTCTTAGGGTTTTATTGCCCTAAGGAATCAAAAGGAACTTTCACAAGGTTGTTCAAGTCTTCCTTGCTTAACCATAGAGCATTAACTTTCAAAGAAGTATTTATTTTTGTTTGTTGGTTGTTCTTAGGATATTTATTTCCTTTATTCTTTAGCTTTTAAATTGGTTACCCGAGGAATATCACACTCTCCCTTCGGTGCTCACGGTTTTTCTCAAAAAGAGTTTACATGGTTAAGGGATGTCCACACCTATAAATGCCAAGAAAATTGGTTGAAGGTATGAAATCTGTTGAGCTAAAAGTTTTTTTTTTTACAAGTAAAAATGTATTAGAAAGTGTTCAAAAGGGTGACGCATCCCAAAAGCTACACAAAGGTGAAAGCCAAAGAAGGAGGTCCTAAGGATCCAAAGAACCCAAAAAATCAATAATCTCCTCTATAGATTTACAATTTCTCCCCATCACCCAACAAAAAAGAGAACTAATAATCAGAAATTTCAAAGCCCCAATGGAAGATTCCTCCCCCTAAAAACAATCTCCTTGGGTTAATTGAAACATTTAGATGATAGAATTCATTTGAAGGCGTTTGAATTTAATATCTACTTAAGTTTGTGCTAACCAGATTATAGATATAAGAAAACTCAAGATGAGCTCATGGATCAATGGCAAAGACCAAGAAAGATCCAACACTTGAAGAAAATGCTGAAGCTCAAAAGATATTAAAGTCAAAAGGAGAAAGACCTTTAAAGCTAAATGACAAGAAAGTCAAAGATGAAGAAATCTACAAAAACATGAGACATCAAAGTCAAGAAGAGCAAATCAACCCAAGGACATCATTCAAGATCAAGATGTAGTTAAGATAGGCTTGAGTGGTAACTAGTATTCATTGTAAAGTTATTCTTGAAGTAACTGACTCGAAAGGTCAACTCTTGACCTACTGGACCATAGGACCTTGCATATCATTCATAAGTCCATAGACCATAAGCAATAGGCCATGAACCTCATTCATATCTGTGGTGTTTCGCACTTTTCCATTTTTCTAGTTTTTTTTCAATTTTTCAGATTATTTTATTTTTGTGCCTCGTTTTGCGTGTCATGCACCAATTAGCATGTTGTGTGGGTTCCGAGAGTGATTTAGAGTATTTCTTTGAGTTTATAACTCTTAGAATACATTTTGGGCCATTTAGCATTTTTCGGATTTTTAGTCCGAGAGGTCAGAGTGGGTCCCACACACGGATTTGCGTGTTCCGAAATTTTATTTCTAAACTTATTTAAATGTTTGATATATTATTCGAAATGTATTTATGTGACTATGTGCTTAATTGTATCAATATAGCATATTTAGGCATATTTGGGCCTAAAGGGCATTTTAATCATTTGGTGGGCAAGGTGGGTCCACCATTACCAAGCCACTACATAGAGGACTAGAAGAGTCCATTTTCTGCAGAATTCTTCTTCCTTCCAGCTGCAGCTCCTCCCTCTCTATAGAAATTTCTCTCTCTCTAGAATTCCATTTTCAAGCCTAATTTTCTTCCTTTTCCCTTTGGATTTTGACCTTGCAAAGTTGAAGAGCTCATAAAGAGCTTCATGTTGATTGGAGCTGATTCTCAATTAGACAACCTCGGATTTTTTAAATTGGGGGCTGATTTGGGGTTTTTGTTGGATTTTGAGGTAGGGGTTTCTAAACCTCAATTCCTTTGATTTTAGTGAATTAGCCTCCTTGAATTTGTAAAATAACATGTTTAGATTTGAATTCCTCTTATAGTTGTTAGGGTTTGAATGTGGTAACATGATGGTTGTGTTCTATGTGGTTAAAATGCAATTTACATGTTTAATTGAACAATTGTAAAGAGGTATGAATGTTTTGAATCAATACATGCTTTCTATGTTTAAGTGGCCATGGTTATGATGTTGATTTTATGCAAAAACTGTTATGTCGGTTCCATGAAAACTGCAATGTTAATTTACTCCCAAAGCATGAGTTATAGAAGTGGTTTTTTATGCTGGAAATTCTATGTTTAAGTGGCCATGGTTATGATATTGATTTTATGCAAAAACTGTTATGTTGGTTACATGAAAACTGCCATGTTAATTTACTCTCAAAGCATGAGTTATAGAAGTGGCTTTTGATGTAGGAAATTCTATGTTAATATGACATTGACAAGCATGTACCATTCATGCATTTACATTGGGTGAGAAATGGGAAAATAAATTTTGAAATAAAGAATTGTTTTGGGAAATGTTTTGAAAAGGATGTTTGCGAAAACCGGGCGACAAGGAATTACCTTGTGTCCGTGGCGTTAATGGGACATAGGGAGACTGCCTTATGTGTGGTTGAGTTACCTAGGCCCCAAATGACGCTAAGGAGTTACCTTAAGTCAGGAATAGTTAGTCAATCCTCCTCTCGTGGTGCCGGGAAGTCACCTAAGGCCGGGTTACATTAACGGTTTGACGGTTGAGGTGTTGAAAGGATTTTTGGAAAATGGGGAGCGACATTGGCATTGCATTTTATTGCATTTACAGGATTTGTACTATAAGATGATTATTTTTCCCAAACTAAGCATGAACCCTTTCGCTATTTGCTATTCTTTGTTTGGATTCACGGGACAATTAAGGAGTGCGTTTTAGGCTCCACCTACTGAGTCGTTGTGCTAACCTCTTTATTACTATTTTCAGGTCACGGAAAGGAAGTGGCGGAAGACATTCCCCCACAAGCTTAGGCGGGACCAGAGAGAACCATCTTTTGTTATCTTGTGTTGTAAATATATGTTTATGTAAAGATTCGAACTCGACTTGTATATTTTGTAATCACGGAGTTATTTTGTGTAATGTATAGTATGAATGGATTCAAGGTCCTTTTGTACCATTGTGTAGTTGATTCCACGTATTAGATTGTTACGCACATTTTGGACTGTTTTGTGAATGTTTTGGAATGGGTTTATGCCATATTTAGGCTTACAAATGAGCCAGGTTATGTTTGGGGCCTTAAATGACCTCCGGTTCGGGTAACGACCTGGGTAATGGCTCGGACCCCGGGTTCAGGTCGATACAATATCATCATGAGTCCTTCGCTAAGGTTGAGTTAGTTTAATCTTTTATAAGCTTTGGGAAAACTCACCTCTTGAGAAGCAAAAACCAAGACCATGCACTCAATTTAAGTCATTTGAATAGGTCTCTAGGTTTACAGATTAAGACTGGGAAGTTACTTGTTTCGATCATAAAAAGCTTCAAGTGATATCAACTTAATCTCAAATTTGGAATATCTTTAATGCTCAATATTCACAAGTAACGGATTCAAGGACCTTGGATCAAATTTATTCATACAATGGAAATGGTCTCTGAACTCAAAGAATTAGGACTTGAACTTATCTTATAAATCCTAGAAGTCCTAAAAAGGTTTGGAATGGAATTGTGCCTTGATTGAACTCAAAAGATGGAAAAATATATATTTTGTATCAAGTCAATTCAATCGACTGCTCAAGTAAGCTCCGGTCAATTTAAACATTTCAGTGGTATCCCTAGTTGAAGCTTTAAACAGTCAATCGACTCTTAACATAGTGTCAATTGACCTAATACAACAAAAAGTGGCCAACGGTTGACTTCTTGAAGTCAGCTGACTGATCCCCTTAGATCAATTGACTAGTATTGTCCAGAGAGTTTAATCACTCAAAGGACATATGTCTCAGTCGAATTATCTATTTGGATCATCAAGCTGGTTCAGCCACACTAGTCGACTATCTTTAAACTCAGTCGACTGTTTGTGACAAGATTCAAATTCAAATGGCTAGTTTAGCAGTCCCAAACTGTACCATTTGTGCCAAACAGCTATATTTCTAAATGGGACTATAAATACGCCATGTGATGGTCATTTCTATGTGAGAAGAATGTGACCAAGCAGAGAGACTTGTGTGAGAAAAGTAGGGAAATCATATAGTAGAAACATAAAAAGAAGAGAAAAGAGAGAATTGTGTAAAGGCTTGAATGAGATGAATTACTCATTCACAGCTCTAGTATTTTTAGATAAAATGAGCACATGCTCATATTACAAGAAAGGAAACTAAATCAAATCAAAAATCAAATCACAAATTATTCTAAAGCATATTCTATGGCATAGTCAAATATCTACTATTATGGTAAGTCATACCATAAATCGTGGTATCATATATGCTAACACTCCCCCTCAAGTTGGTGCGTGGATATCTGAAACGCCCAACTTGGACAATGCATTCTCAAACACAATCTTGCTGACGCTCTTTGTAAGAATGTCTGCAAGCTGCTGAGAGCTTGTGACAAATGGAGTGCAAATTTGACCAGAGATAATCTTCTCTCGAATGAAGTGACGGTCCACCTCTATATGCTTAGTCCTGTCATGCTGAACGAGATTTGCTGCTATACTAATGGCAGACTTGTTGTCGCAGTAGAGTGAGAATGAAAGCGACACTGGAAGGCACAAGTCTGTCATCAAGGTTTTCAGCCAAAGCAACTCACCTACCCCAAGAGCCATGGCCCTATACTCTGCCTCTGCACTAAATCGAGAGACAACGTCTTGCTTCTTACTGCGCCAAGTAACCAAGTTACCACCAATAGTGGTACAATAACCTGAAGTAAACCTCCTATCTGAAATTGATCCTGCATAATCAGCATCTGTCCAAGCCTCGACACATAAGTGACCATGATTGGCAAACAAAATACGACGGCCTGGACACCCTTTTAAGTAGCGAAGGATCCGAATAGCTGCATCAAGGTGTGGGGCACGAGGAGAGTGCATGAATTGACTTACGACACTCACGGCATAAGCAATGTCAGGTCGAGTCATGGATAAATAGATGAGCTTCCCCACAAGTTCTTTCTCTCAGAATGACCATTCTATTGAGGAGTTTTAACATTAGCCATCTGATGCTCAATCCCAAATTCTGTACATAACCGTTGTACCTCCCCATGTACTCTGTACCCTGGTCAGATCGGAATTTTTTAATGATACGACCATATTGTGTCTGAACCATTGTCATAAAATTTTTAAAAATGGTGTATACCTCATTTTTTATTTTCATAAGATAAACCCAAGTAACACAACTATGATCATCAATGAACAACACAAAATATGGAAATGCAAGACTAGAAGTAACTGGGCAAGGTCCCCACACATCTGAATGAACAAGATCAAAAGGTGTTAAAGCAGATTTATTACTACTAGCAGGATAATTAGAACAAACATGTTTAGCCATATGACATATTTCGCAGGATAAATCTGACACTGCCACGTTACAAAATAAGGAAGGAAATAAATGTTTCAAATAACCAAAAGAAAAATGTCCTAAACGCATGTGCCAACGCATAAGCTGGGCTTTATTAGATGAAACAATATTAGAAAATGAAGCTGAATGTGCTTGAGGTGACAAAGGAGCATCCAACAGGTATAAACCGTCCACTTCACGCCCACTGCCAATCGTCCGTTTCGACACCAGATCCTGAAAAATACAATGAGAGGGAAAGAACGTTATGCTACAATTTAATTGTTTGGTAACGCTACTAACATAAATAAGATTTGTAGTCAACTTTGGAACATGAAGTGTATTTGACAAAGTTGGTGAAGGAGTAACTGATATGTGACCCTTCCCAGCAATGGAAGATGGAGAGCCATCCGTAAGGCGGACCTTGCGTTGGCCAAAGCAGATACTATAAGATTGGAAGAGTGTGGACATACCAGTCATATTGTCTGAAGCACCAGAATCAATGATCCATGGTGTTGAAGATGTAGATACGCTATGTGCAGATGCAATAGTACCTGAGTGGATAAGTGGAGGTTGGCTGAGATGATGCCTCCATTTAGTTGAAGAATTGCTTGAACTTGTCCAAATCAGCTTGAGTCAAGGTAACTATGGTAGAAGATGTAGAGGCAGGGTTGTCAGGAGTTGACAACGAGACTGGTTGTGTAACAGAATGTGCAAAGGATTGAGGCTGTTGTTTCTGTTGCGGTGGACGTCCATGTAGAGCATAACAACGAGATCTGATGTGACCAATTTGTCCGCAATGGTCACACCGTCCACATTGTCGTCCCAGAGGAGGACCAGTGGTAGTGCTCTGAACTGACTGGGATGGTGAAGTTCCTGAAAGGTTGGGAACCCGAACTGCCATAGCAGAACGATCAACAAAAGCAACACCTAATGGATGAGTCCGGCGGCTCTCATCTGACAATGCATGGGAGTATGCATCCTTAAGAGTAGGGAATGAAGATAAGCCCAATAAATGAACACGGGCATACTCAAACTCGTCGTTCAACCCGGCAAGAAACTGAAACATTCGAATCTTCTCCACAATTCCTGCATATAAAACTGCATCATCTGGATCCTTCCAAGAGTGGAAGGAATCATAATATGACATCCCCTCCTAAATAGCACGAAGCTTGGCGATGTAACTTGAAACTGTCAAGCCACCCTGAGAAATCCTGGTGATATCTCGGCCCAGCTGGAAAATTCGTGCATTATTCTGCCTCTGAGAATAAGTGCGTTGAACTGAATCCCAAATCTGCGTAGCAGTCTTCATAAACAAATAGCCAATAGCTATGTTTAGTTGCATCAAATTGACTAACCAAGACATAACCATAGCGTTATCTGCAAACCACTGTGGGTATGCCTTCTCTGACTCAGCTGGCTCTTTCTCAGAACCAGTAATATAGCCAATCTTGCATTTGCCACCAATGAACATCTTGGCAGACTGTGCCCAAATCAAATAGTTGGAACCATCCAACTTCACTGTGGTGATTTGAAGTCCTGGATTTTCTAATGAGTTGGTGGGAAAAATGGCACCACCACCCACAGAACATGAGCCAAGAGAATTAACAGTCGAGGACCCTGAATCTGCCATAATCTGTCACACGACAATAAAAAAACTCCAAAAACACCACAAATTTTGTTAATAAATCAAAGGGTCTCCTCAGACCATAAAAAATGTCTCCTCAAACCATTCCCGAAAAATCCAAATACATACCTTTTTTAAGGAGCACTGCCCGCTAACATATAGCCAGACAGCCTCCTTCTTAGTATTCGGAACCTCTTTGTAGACTAATTTTTTTTACCCAAGCCCTTCTAGGTGTTGGAAACCAACTATCCCAATTTTTCCAACCCTAGAACAGTGAAAAAGAAATTGTAAAACTTAAAAATACTTGTTTTTTATCACAAAACAACAACACAGAAAAACATGTGTAGGCAACGTCACACGATGTCACAAACAGCCTAAGGTAGTTGTCGCACAAGTAGCAAGGCTGCTGAAAGATGTGGAAAGGTGTTGGCTCTGATACCAAATAGAAATATAAAAAGAAGAGAAAGGAAAGAATTGTGTAAAGGCTTGAATGAGATGAATTACTCATTCACAGCTCTAGTATTTATAGATAAAATGAGCACATGCTCAAATTACAAGAAAGGAAACTAAATCAAATCAAAAATCAAATCACAAATTATTTTAAAGCATATTCTATGGCATAGTCAAATCTCTGCTATTATGGTTAGTCATACCATAAATCGTGGCATCATATATGCTATAGTTAAATCTCTGCTATTATGGTTAGTCATACCATAAATCATGGAATCATATATGCTAACACATATTCATACACAAGGGTGTAAGAACAATATATATTTATATATCTTGATTCTAATTCTACGATTGGAACATACATTTTATCATCCATTGTTTGTAGAAGCTATCATAGAGCTTTGTAATTGAATATCTTTCATGGGTAGCACCACTATTGAGTATCATCATGCATATCCATTTATAGTGGACTTGCACGAAGACGGGTTTTCACTTGACCCGCAATCAAGTGGTGTAAAGGTTTTTCTCTTCACTTGCAAGAAGAGGGTTGATAGCGGATTGGGGATAAATCCTCAACTGGTGCGCTTGAGGCAAGGATGTAGGTGGAATTTTCCAAGCCTTGTAAAAATCGTTGTATTAGCATTTCTTATCCCCTAAACTCCTTACTTATTGTCTATGCATGTTAATTAGAATTAGATGTATGTTTAGATATGTTTAGTTAAGTTCAGATGGATGCTAGGAAAAAATATGCTTCGAGTTTAAAATAGTTATATTAGTATGATAGTTTAATATATGGTGTGTGTTGGTATGTTTAGACTAGAATAATTAGTTGTATGCATGTTTGCTATATACTTCGATTGGATATATGTTAGCACTCAATGGTAGTATAGTTTAGTCTAGATGTTTGATAGGATTAGTTAATGTAATATATATGATACATGTGTCATCTAATATATAATTAGTATTGTTGTATGTAATCTACATGTCCATTAGAGTTATATCTATATATATACAGATGTATGTATTATGTGAATTCATCCTAGATAGCTTTTCATCACAACAAATTGACTTGACCTAATCAAGACACAAACCAATATCTAGAAACCAACTAAAAAATGAGAATTGGAATCCAGAATAAGCCCCCAAGTGTTCATCCTTCTTAGGAATCTAAGTAAGCCAAACCAAATCAAATAATCAAGAATAGCATAAGCCTAAATATCCAATCTCTAGTAAGCCAAACCCTAGAATCATCTTCGTCAATCAACATAGAAACCAGCCTTAGGAGTTCATCTTTAGATAAGCAACTAGGCTCCAAGAACCATAGATCATAACCATTAGGATCCTAAGCCAATTCCGCAAAAGAACCCATAGTTTGTCATAGACCCAATTCACCCCCCTATACGGTCAATATCTGGGCAACAAAATCTACTTTTGAATGTTGATTTGACGAAAATCACATGGTAAAGTTTATTATAATTAATTGCTTTTGGTTCTCCTTGAAATAAAACAATGAAAAACAACCATCATACCAAAGGTTATGTCATCATATTGCTGACTATATCCCACATTCAAAGACAACTAGATGGCAGCCATGATGTTTAATAGTAGAAATAATATACTCCTTGTATCACTGTTTATTTGCTCTCCCCGACAACTCAAGCATATTATTATTCTAAATAGTTTCATTGTCACTAAAAATACTAGGATGTTCACAACCCGCGAATTGAATGAATTCGCTCATCAAGTACTAGATCAACCGGAAAACCCACTTCTTCGTATGGTTTAATTTGCACCCAAGAAAACATTGAAGCAACTATTTCCAATTTTCCACAAGTACATCAGGCATGGAATTCTAATTACTAAGGCCATAACAAAATGAGATTAAATAAGTGATGCATAAATAATATCTTAAAATGATTTTATATAACGAAACTGATTAGTCATAGAGAGACCGTCAATTTTAGCTAAATATTAACAATACCTTCAAAATTAGGTAGAGACGTTTCTTACAGAAATCAATTACAAAAAGGGCATAGCCCAAATTGAAATTGAAAAGGCCAAAAATTAGCATTCTTGCCATGTTAAACAGACCCACACCACTTGTATAGGAAAAATCCACTTTCAATGACATTGTACCTTACAATTCAATTTAACTTCAAACTAGAGAAACAATAACAAGTATAGTAACATGCAAAAGCCAAAAAAATTAAAATAATGGCGGCATATAGAATATGGCAAGGATGATGATGACACATAATATGAATATATGGAAATTTAACTGTTAGAACCATCTATTTACCTGTATGGTTGATGACCCTCTTGAGTTTTCACCCTTTTTATATTTTCTCTCAATCCGGTGGTAATAGGGTGAGACAATGCTCTCCACATATGACATTACTTCATCAAACGGAGTTGGCATGCCATGCACCATTATATACCTAAATCTCTTCTCTTTTGCATTGTATGCAACTAATTTGTCCCCATCCATTTTCAACAGAACTTCCCTATCTGGCGGTAAACACAAGGGTTCCACATTGTATGTAGGTACAGAGATTGTAAATTTCGTAAATTTGGTCCAAGACTCGGTCACCCCGTACTCCTTCATCACCCAAAGATCAGCCTGTCTATCAGTATCCCATACAAGCTTACAGAGACACCCTCCAAGAACCCCCAAAGCACTAGATAAATTACACTCTTCAAATGAGCTCGGTGCCAAAATATCTCGAAATTTTTCGTCTGATACATCAAAAGCAGCAATCACAATGAACGCTTAAAAGTTGGCCAATGTATAGACCCATTCACAAAAACGCCTGAGTTAGGCATGAGAGGAGAATGATTGTAAGGAAAATCTTGAATCCTCTTCCAAGAATTGGTTTTGAGTGAATAGACACTTACAAATGTATCTGAACAATACGCTTTACCGTTTTTGGGGAAAGACAAATGTGATTCATTGTCACCATAATCATAATCATCATCACAATCATCAATATCATCATCATCATCATCATCAGAATCATAATCAGAATTTTTTTCATAGTAGGAAACTGCTACAACCTTGTAATTATCTGCAGCTGAATCGTACCCAAATCCATACATACAGCACCTAGGAGATGAATCGACGACAAAAAGGAAATTGGGTAATTTTTTGACTCTCTAGTTGATGGATTCAACAAAAACTTGGTGTAGTCATCGTCGCTAACTAGAAGCAAACCGTTGCAAGAAGCCAAGATATAGTTCAACAAGTCTGGGTGTTTATCTTGGGGAAGTCAAGCTTGGTTGCAATCACAGCATCGTTAATGGATGCTTCAGTGCAGTCGATGGAGTAAAGTGAGTCAAGTGAATCAGAAATTAGTAATAAGAGTTTCTCGCATTCGTTGTTGTTTGCTCCGATTGAGGTGTGTTTTGGCGAAATGACGGCTTGAGATTAGGGCAAACCATGACTTCGATACGCATTTGAATCGGCATAGAGACTTCACGGGGAGTCGAGACAGTATGTCAATCATGAGCTCGTCGAGAAGGATTGCGCCGTTCGACATCGCCACTTTCACAGAGTGATTCGGGTCGGCAGTTGGGGTTCGGTGATGTTAGGGCACAGTTTGATCGACTCACTCTGTCCAGTGACGTCGGTTTTAATCAGGTTTGCTTGAAAGAAAAAATGGCAATTACTACTTTTATGTCAGTATAGAACTGATTTGATTTGATTTGATTTAATGTCACAATTAATGGATGTCATAATTTTTAGGACTTAAATCACAAAATGGCTGCTATTTTTGTCGTAAAATCTCAATAAGATTACAAAGTCAAATAAAATCTCAATAATATTATAAAGTTATCATTTTGTCCCGATTTTATTACCGTTAACTTCACTATGGTATAGTTAACAAGTGTTGGCAATCAAAATTTAGTGACGAAAATACCCTCAAAGAAATATGTGTCAAACAAGTTGGAGTTTTATGATCATAGGTGTAATTTAGTCATTTTACAAACACTTAACAAACTGTTCATTGAAAGAATTGATACAAAGTGATAACTTTATAATCTCGAATTGCCCCTAGTTTTTATTATTTTAGAAAGCTAAAAAGAGTTCGCCTTACACTATTTATTAGGGTAACTACAAAACTGAACGGTTTTTATAACAGTACTCTTTGTTAAGTTAAAAAAAGTATTTAACAACAAAACTGGAGAAAGTATATATATAAAAGACAATTATTTTCGGTTCAAACTCGTAATCAATCCTACTCTTAATAGGAGCAGTTGACAATTAAATCTAATTTTCCCTACTAATTTCATATAAGTAATATCTATAACTTCTCTCAATTCGACCATGTTGCCCTGAGTAGGACTACGACCGTAACATAATCGAAAGATCTAAGATGCATATGGAGTTGAGGGGGAATGGATTTTTTCTTTTTGCTTCAAAAATGGGCATGCTGGACATGATATAGGGATGGAGAGAGGAGATAAGCGGACTTAATTTATTAGTTGTTTTCCTTAATTTATATTATTGAACTTGTTTTAAACTCATGTTTGACAAATTGAATTGATCTAGAATTAGTTGCATTTTAGCTTACACTCTGCATAAAAAAATTCAAGCTCAATGTATATTTGTGAAAGATCATAAATAAAATAATTCTAAGTTCAATTTCAATTTTTTTTTTTTTTTTCAATTCTAAATGACAAAATAATCTATTTTAAAAGTCTATTTTTCAATTTGATTGATTTAAACAAAATAATTACAAATACATTAAGAATTATTATTAAAGTCCCAAATACCCTCTTTGTAATATGACTTGCTTTTTTGTTGTTGAGTTGTTCATTTTCTTGCTTAATTATCAAAATATATATATGAAAGAAAGTTTCCCCAATTATCTTTTCAAAGTGATGTCATGTATAATTTGTAGTGAGACCAAATTTACAAATTTATGGAATAAAATTAAAAAGCAAAATAAGTTAAACCTACCAATATTATGGTGTAAAAGTCTAGTTAAAGACATAAAACATTTTTTGAAACATAAAAATTGTAATAAGCTTCTATGGTGTAAGGCATATGACTTATTGTTGTAGGTAATATTCCTTTCAGTCTTTTCATGACTTTATAATAAAGATGACCATTGTTTTGAGAATGAAATATTAATACTTGCTACATTATTTTGTTGGAATCATGTGATACCCGTTGTGTTCTTAGCAAAATAATATAAGTTTTTTATTGATACTTTATTTTATTTTGCTATTTTATTTTATTCTATAATCTTGTAAATTTCGTCTCACTAAAAATATAAATGAAATCAATTTGAAAACATAATTCGAGAAAACATATTTTGATATATATATATATATAGAGAGAGAGAGAGAGAGAGAGAGAGAGAGAGGGGGAGAGTATAATTAATCAATATTATTAAATAAGGAAACAAGCACAATCTAAGGCGGCATATTTCTTGACAACCAAAAAAGTAAGTCAGATAACAAAGAGGGTATTTGGGACTTTAACAATAATTCTTGATATATTTGTAATTATTTTGTTTAAATCTATCAAATTGAAAATTAGACTTTTAAAATAGACCATTTTGTTATTTTGGACTCCTAACCCTACTTATGTATAGTTTTTTCAAAAAATAAATCATGTGTTATGGCGCGAAGTAGCAATTTCCAAACTCTAAATTGACAATGTAGAAAATTTAGAGCTGTTTAAATCCTTGCTTTCTTCAAAATTGCTTCAAAGTTCAATCATGGTTGTAATTAATTAGGAAAAAGTGCAAAAAACACCCCTGAAGTATATCTTTCATAACACTTTTACCTCTATTTAAAAAGGTGTGCAAAAAACACCCATATTCTTTTCAATTTGTGCAAAAACAACCCTCAATTAATCTAATGCCTATTTTACCCTCTACTCTTCCAAAAATGCCCCTGTCATCAAGTCAGTGCCTGCCCTAGATCAATTGATTGACCTTTGTGAGGAGAGCCATCCGCCCGCGCAGCGCCCACGGTGAAAGACGGAATAACAAGTTGAGAGGAGGGCAATGCGGATTGGATACTGCTCGGTGAGGCCACATCCCCTTATCAGTGCACGAACAAATAGATTTCTCTTTCCCCAAACAGAGAGCAAGATGTAGTGGGCGTGGAACAGAAGAACGGTGCCGGTGGACAAGGACGGAAGAAACGAAGAGAACACCGACGTAGGTGCGGCCTGAACCAAAGCAAAGAACAAGTCGCCGGCGGCAGCGCATGACTGGTCCTGCGACGGCAAGGCAGAGGGAAACAACTTCTTGATGATGGTGTGGAACTGGATGGCATAGCGAGAAACAGCAGGTCATGGATTGAATGAAAATCATGGGTACACCTCTTCAAATCATGCCTCCGCCACTTCTCGCCGAGCCACGACCGGACCGCCACTTCACAGCAAACCGCTGCCGTCCTTGCTCCACCGTTGATCCTCGCTGGCATATCACATCTCTGCCACCATTTCTCTCCGAGCCACAATCGGACCACCATTTTCTCACCAGCGTCTTCTAAGTTCATCAAAACCGCCGGCCTCTGCGAATCTTCTTCATCATCTTCAAGATCTCGCCAACGGTTGAACTCGTTCTATAACTCACCGGAGAACGGAGCTCGCTGCAGTGTGCTGTGGTTGCAATCTTACAAACCCAATTGGTGACCAAACGAAAACCCATTTCCGGTGAGTTTTATGAATAGGTCCGACAAACGGCGTGACTAGTCACAGCGGCGATCGTCGGCATCAAAAGCGACAACAGTTCGGCGAGTGCCTAATCTCGCCGGTTACAGTCCGTGACCCGTCAATTCATCACCGCCGCTCCTTGCATCACCGCCATCGTTTCTTCCTTTCTCTCTGGTGGCGTTAGAAGTTTTCCCACAAATTGCGGCGACTAGTCCGGAGGTGGATGATGTTCGGTGGTGAAGCAACAATTGGGTTGAGTGAACGACGATTGGGTTGAGTCACCGACGATTGGGTTATGCGTTTGGCGGCGGTTGGGTTGTGCGTTTGGGCTTGGATGTGATTAGGGTTTTGCGAAGGGTAGAAATGCAACGCCAAATCAGCTGCTAACAAAGAAAGGAGAAGGTGACTTGGGGTGGAGCTGGGCGGTGGGTGGTTATGAACTGGGGTGGAGAAAAATCCGGCAACTAACACAGTACATATATATATATATATATATATATATTGTTACAACAGAGACAACTGATACAGAGGTATAGAGGAGACAGATAAAATGAGAAACCAGGGAGCTAACAGAGAAACGGATGAAGCTCCAACAGAAATACAGAAAAAAATAACAGAGGTAACCACCAAGATGAAGAAGAAGAAGGGCCAAACCCTTTTTAGTCATTTCACATTTTTTTAATAATTTATATACATTATAAAATGTGTTGCTAAGGGTATTTTAGTCCAATTTTTATAAATAGGACTTATTTGCACAAATTGCATAGTTTAGGAGTGTTTTTTGCACTGGAGGGGTACAATATGCACTATATGCATACTATATAGGTGTTTTTTATACTTGACCCTGATTAATTAACCCTGTATGTAATCGATCATATTGGAGAATAGTACTAAATTTTATGAGTTTTGCTTTTGGTCTAATGCATCCAACAGCACACAGTTATATAGGGGCTAGGGGAAATTATTTGGTGCGGTTGTCAAACATTGCGGTGTTTGATAAAACAAAAAATTAAATAACGAAAATTTTAAGACACCGAATATGTTGGAGGTTCATTTTATAGGAAATCCATCAATAATTATTGCATTTTTCTCAATGACAACTTGAAAAGTTGGAGTTCCAAAAAATAATTAATGGTTTCTCAATCGAGCAGGGGCAGAATACCAACAACTTGCTCTTGCTACCACCAAAATTTCTTGTTTACGTCATTTGTTTCGTGATTTACATCTCTCTCTAACAACTGTGTCGGTCTTGTGTGATAATGTGAGCTTAATTTTACTCGTTTCAAATCAAATTTTTTATGCAAGAAAGAAGCACATTGAGGCATGGTTCGCAGCATCGGTCGCATTGTAATAGACTCAAACAAAGTCAATGTAAACTGACTTATACTCGCATATTGGACTTGAAAAGTGTAAAGAGCGTATTAAAAGTGTTATCAAATCAAAGAAACAAAAGCAACTGAACATAAGAATGAAACATAACATTCAGTTAATTTACTTGGACAGTAAAATCCACATCAAAACCAATCTAACCCACTATATTTCATTCAAGTATAAACTAATGGCCCATTTGACCCCAAACAAGAAAGAAAAGGGTAAATATGTCCATCATACTTCTTTGAACTCTAAGGAAAGAACAATAAATAATTAATTAATTAAAAATATATATATTTGAAGAAAAATAGTCTTTACGGACTCCAAAATCATAAAACAATTTTCAAAGAATTACAAAAACTATCCTGCAAAATTAGGTCTACCACCATATAAAGTTTTTCTGGACTCCAAAATCATAAAACAATTTTCAAAGAACTACAATAACTATCCTGTGAAATTAGGTCTATCACCATATAAAAGTTTCCACAAAACTGTCGATGAAACAAAATTCGAAACTATTTCAATTCTCTTAGATATAACCATTATTAGAAAACTAAACCACGCAAACCTTGGTTCAACGTTGTTCCCGACTTCATCTTCTTGGCGACTGTTATGGCAATAGCATTTCTAAAATGCTCTTCCTAGGTTCCATTCCTTTGTTCTCCTTTTACTTGAACCCGGGAGCCTGAACACTCGCCAAGCCAGCAAGCATTCAGATTTTCTCCAAGAAAAACAATAATTCCATTCAAGGGCATAGGGTGGCTGATAAGAAATGGATTAAGACAGTTTTGAGACTTCAAACAAGGCAAATTTTCTCATGTTTCTACAAAAGGGAAAGAAATAGCCACGTCTAATAAGATACACTGCAACGAAAGTGTGGTTGGGGACATCCGATAACCTCATTGCAATTACCTGATACAAGTAAAAGCATCTCCATAAAATCATCTGAGCATCCCCCGAAGGCATCCAATTTTTGAACATCATCTTCTTTTTTCAAAATGCAGGGAAAATAAAACCATAAATATAATCAAACAATATACAGAGAAGAGGATACTAGTCAGTCTTCAAAGGGAAATGAACAAGAGAATGACAAAGGATAGCTACACTAGTGAGTAGGCATGTTTTCGCTATCAATCTGAGCCACATTAACAGTCTAACTATGCAGTCTTGAGGAGTCTCCAACATCCAACTTGATAAAGACCATCTTTCCCCATTAGGCAGACTTAAAGCTATCTTAGGTTGCCTAGAAAATGAAGGAAAAGAAAATGTTAACAGAATGTAATTAATGCAAAGAGAAAATCATAAAGAAAAGAAAGTGTTGAAAAAAACATTTTCCAACAGTAGAATTAAGCATATTTCTTTCCCATGGTTGATAATGAAGGCAGAGGAAATCACAAAGGAAATAGGGAAATTTTCGCTTTTGACCTTCTACGATTACATCCTTAGCAGACCCAAAAAATCCAATTTCTCTTCAGAAGTCTCCTCAACCCAACAGTTTAAACCTACAGCACCCCCACCAGGTCTAACATGTATTCCATTTAAAATTTTAAACCACCTCCACAGGGTTCGGTAGTGTATTCGCCCTTCTATTATATTCTCTCAAAGATAAGGAATGAAGTCATTTATTGTTTTTGTGCCGCAGTTTGGGGTTGGGGGGGAGGAAGGGACTGATCCCCTTAGATCAATCGACTAGGATTGTCCAGCGAGTTTAATCACTCAAATGACATATGTCTTAGTCGAATTATCTATTTGGATCATCAAGCTGGTTCAGCCAAACTAGTCGACTATCTTTAAACTCAGTCGGCTGTTTGTGACAAGATTCAAATTCGAACGGCTAGTTCAGCAGTCCCAAACTGTACCATTTATGCCAAACAGCAATATTTCTAAATGGGACTATAAATACACCGTGTGATGGTCATTTCTATGTGAGAAGAATATGACCAAGGAGAGAGACCTGTGTGAGAAAAGTATGGAAATCATATTCATATATCTTGATTCTAATTCTATGATTGGAACATACATTTTATCATCCATTGTTTGTAGAAGCTATCATAGAGCTTTGTCATTGAATATCTTTCATGGGTAGCACCACTATTAAGTATCATCATGCCTATCTATTTATAGTGGTTCTGAAATCCTAGAGATAAGCTTTCAAATGGGATACATCATGTATTTAACTCTAGGTGTGTGAGCTTCAAAGTTGTAAACCTATCTATCAAGAGACATCATTGTAATAATCGTGCTTCAACTCCTATTCTTGATAGTATTAGTGTCCAAGTACAACTTGGCAAGGGCAATTGGGTTAAATCTTGTCATAGGTATAGGTTTACTCCCAACTTTGACGAGAGGGTTGGAGCTTTCTATTGACTTGCACGAAGATGGGTTTCCACTTGACCCACAATCAAGTGGTGTAAAGGTTTTGCTCTTCACTTGCAAGAAGAGGGTTCATAGCGGATTGGGAATAAATCCTCAAATGGTGCGCTTAAGGCAATGATGTAGGTGGAATTTTCCAAGCCTTGTAAAAATCGTTGTGTTAGCATTTCTTATCCCTAAACTCCTTACTTATTGTCTATGCATGCAAATTAGAATTAGATGTATGTTTAGATATGTTTAGTTAAGTTCAGATGGATGCTAGGAACAAACATGCTTCGAGTTTCAAATAGTTATATTAGTATGATAGTTTAATATATGGTGTGTGTTGGTATGTTTAGACTAGTATAATTAGTTGTATGCATGTTTGCTATATACTTCGATTAGATATATGTTAGCACTCAATGGTAGTATAGTTTAGTCTAGATGTTTGATAGGATTAGTTAATGTAATATATGATATATGTGTCATCTAATATATAATTAGTATTGTTGTATGTAATCTATATGTCCGTTAGAGTTATATCTATATATATATATATAGATGTATGTATTATGTGAATTCATCCTAGATAGCTTTTCATCACAACAAATTGACTTGACCTAATCAAGACACAAACCAATATCTAGAAACCAAATAAACTAGAATGAGAATTGGAATCCAGAATAAGCCCAAGTGTTCATCCTTTTTAGGAATCTAAGTAAGCCAAACCAAATCAATAATCAACAATAGCAAAAGCCTAAATATCCAATCTCTAGCAAGCCAAACCCTTGAATCATCTACGTCAATCAACATAGAAACCAACATTAGGAGTTCATCTTTAGATAAGTAACTATGCTCCAAGAACCATAGATCATAGCCATTAGGATCCTAAGCCAATTCCACAAAAGAATCCATAGTTTGTCATAGACCCAATTCACCCCACTATACGGTCAATATCTGGGCAACAAAATCTACTTTTGAATGTTGATTTGACGAAAATCACATGGTAAAGTTTGTTATAATTAATTGCTTTTAGTTCTCCTTCAAATAAAACAATGAAAAACAACCATCATACCAAAGGTTATGTCATCATGTTGCTGACTATATCCCACATTCAAAGACAACTAGATGGCAGCCATGATGTTTAATAGTAGAAATAATATACTCCTTGCATCACTGTTTATTTGCTCTCTCCTACAACTCAAGCATATTATTATTCTAAATATTTTCATTGTCACTCAAAATACTAGGATGTTCACAACCCGCGAATTGAATGAATTCGTTCATCAAGTACTAGATCAGCCGGAAAACCCACTTCTTCGTATGGTTTAATTTGCACCCAAGAAAACATTGAAGCAACTATTTCCAATTTTCCACAAGTACATCAGGCGTGGAATTCTAATTACTAAGGCCATAACAAAATGAGATTAAATAAGTGATGCATAAATAATATCTTAAAATGATTTTATATAACAAAACTGTTTAGTCATAGAGAGACCGTCAATTTTAGCTAAATATTAACAATACCTTCAACATTAGGTAGAGAGGTTTCTTATAGAAATCAATTACAAAAAGGGCATAGCCCAAATTGAAATTGAGAAGGCCAAAAATTAGCATTCTTGCCATGTTAAACGGACCCACACCACTTGTATAGGAAAAATCCACTTTCAATGACATTGTACCTTACAATTCTATTCAACTTTAAACTAGAGAAACAATAACAAGTATAGTAACATGCAAAAGCCAAAAAATTTAAAATAATGGCGGCATATAGAATATGGCAAGGATGATGATGGCACATAATATGAATAAATGGAAATTTAATAGTTAGAACCATCTATTTACCTGTATGGTTGATGACCCTCTTGAGTTTTCACCCTTTTTAAATTTTCTCTCAATCCAGTGGTAATAGGGTGAGACAATGCTCTCCACATATGACATTACTGCATCAAACGTAGTTGGCATGCCATGCACCATTATGTACCTCAATCTCTTCTCTTTTGCGTTGTATGCAACTAATTTGTCCCCATCCATTTCCAACAGAACTTCCCTATCTGGCAGTAAACACAAGGGTTCCACATTGTACGTAGGTAAAGAGATTGTAAATTTGGTCCAAGACTCGGTCACCCCGTACTCCTTCATCACCCAAAGATCAGCCTGGCTATCACTATCACATACAAGCTTACAGAGACACCCTCCAAGAACCCCCAAATCACTAGATATATTACACTCTTCAAATGAGCTCGGTGCCAAAATATCTCGAAATTTTTCTTCTGATACATCAAAAGCAGCAATCACAAGTGACTTATCTGAACACTTAAAAGTTAGCCAATGTATAGACCCATTCACAAAAACAGCTGAGTGAGGCATGAGAGGGGAATTATTGTAAGGAAAATCTTGAGTCCTCTTCCAAGAATTGGTTTTGAGTGAATAGACATTTACAAATGTATCAGAACAATAGGCTTTACTGTTTTTGGGAAAGACAAATGTGATTCATTTTCACCATAATCATAATCATCATCACAATTATCAATATAATCATCATCATCACCACCATAATCATAATCATCATCACAATCATCAATATCATCATCATCATAATCATAATCATAATCATCATCATTATCAGAATTTTTAGCATAGTAGGAAACTGCTACAACCTTGTAATTATCTGCAGCTGAATCGTACCCAATTCCATACATGCAGCACAAAGGAGATGAATCGACAACAAAAAGGAAGTTGGGTAATTTCTTTGACTCTCCAGTTGATGGATTCAACAAAAACTTGGTGTAGTCTTCGTCGCTAACTAGAACCAAACCGTTGCAAGAAGCCAAGATATAGTTCAACAAGTCTGGGTGTTCGATCTTGGGGAAATCAAGCTTGGTTGCAATCACATCATCGTTAATGGATGTTTCAGTGCAGTCAATGGAGTAAAGTGAGTCAAGTGAATCAGAACTTAGTAAGACTTTCTCGCATTTGTTGTTGTTGCTCCGATTGAGGTGTGTTTTGGCGAAATGAGGGCTTGAGATTAGGGCAAACCATGACTTCGATACGCATTTGAATCGGCAGAGAGACTTCGCGGGGAGTCGAGACAGTATGTCAATCATGAGCTCGTCGAGAAGGATCGCGCCGTTTGACATCGCCACCTTCACAGAGTGATTCGGGTCGGCAGTTAGGGCACAGTTTGACAGACTCACTCTGTCCAGTGCACTTACACCCTCACTCAGTCCAGTGACGGCGGTTTTGGAGAAGGGTTTTTAAGTTTTAAGATGAGGATGATGTCGACTTTTTCTTTTTCTTTTTCTTTTTTTTTTTAAATCAGGTTTATTTGAAAAAAAAAATGGTAACTACTTTTATCTCGCTGTCAGGTGGCAAATTACCAAAGACATAATAAGATTCGAATACGATATTAAATAAATAAATTTGGATTGACTTTAAACAGATTCAAATTATAAATTAATTGACATGATTAATTCATTTACTTAATCATGTAGAGTTAGGGTTGTAAAGTTCAACCATGTAACATTTTTATAACTCGTTTAACTCAAAATATTGTAATCGTGAATATAAGATATGTAATATATTACATGTTTAAACTTAATTATTATGAATAGTTAAGTAATTTCAACATAAACTTTGAGTTAATTCTGACAATTTTTTATTATTATACATTATTTGATTAAATATTAAGTGTCTTATTTTAACAAACAGATCATTATACACGTTTACTCCTTTAATAAACCGGTTGGGTTATTATTGAGGGTCCTTAACACGATTATTAAATGAATTGGGTTTGGATTTACCTGTTTAGTATAATACCTTTACATCGACACGATATAATTATGACCCACAAACACGAATTGCCACCCCTACTCACTATACAACTAATTTAATGTGATAATTAATGGATTTCATACACATCTAGAATAAGTATTTTTATTATTTTAGAAAGCTCACAAGAGTTCCCTTAGAATATATTTATTAGGGTAATTACAAAACGGTTCGATTTTTATAGCATTGCTCTTAGTTAAATTAAAAAAAAACGTATCATAATATTAAAATCTATCTCCAAGTATCCTTTATCATTCCCACCAAATCCATTTTCTCAAAGATAATAGGATGGATTGCAAAACTGGAGAAAGTATATATAAAAGAAAATTATTTTCAGTTCCAACCTGTAATCAATCCTATTTTTGATAGGGGCAGTTAATCATTTTTTTTTTTCTGACTAATTTCATATAAATAATACCTATAACTTCTCCTAATTCGACCAAGTTGCCCTGAGTAGGACTGCCGCTGTAATATAATCGAAAGATCTAAGATGTATATTGAGGGGAAAGAATTTTTTTTTGTTTTTTACTTCAAAAATGGGCATGCCGGAGATGATATATGGATGGATAGAGGAGATAAGCCGACTTAATTTATTATCGTTGTTTTCCTTAATTTCTAGTATTGAACTTGTTTTAAACTCATGTCTGAAAAATTGAATTGATCTCGAATTAGTTCCTTATTAGCTTACACCTCTGCATAAAAAAATTCAAGCTCGATGTATATATGTGAAAGATCATAAAAAATAAAAATAAAATAATTCTAAACTCAATTTCAATTTTTTATTTTTTTATTTTTTATATTTGTGAGAGATCATAAAAAAATAAATCATGTGCTATGGCTCGAAGTAGCAGTTTCCAAGCTCTAAATTGACAATATAGAAAATTTAGAGCTGTTTAAATCCTTGCTTTCTTCAAAATTGCTTCAAAGTTCAACTATGGTTGTAATTAATCGAGCACGGAGGCAGAATACCAGCAACTTGCTCTTGCTACAGCCAAAATTTCTTGGTTACGTCATTTTTTTTTCGTGATTTACATCTCTCTAACAAATGTGTGTCTTGTGGTGTGATAATGTGAGCTCAATTTCACTCACTTCAATTCCAATTTTCCATGCAAGAAGGAAGCACATTGAGGCATGATTCACAGTATGTATCGATCGCGGTGTAACAAACTTGGATAAAGTCAATATAAACTGACCGATACAGCATATCAGACTTGAAAAAAGATCGCTTATCGACCAATACTTCATTATACAACGAACCATACATTGAGGTGGACTAAAAATTTCGAAGTGTTGTAGTTTTCTAAGTGGTAATTAAAAATTAAATATTTTTTTAATATCTTTTTAAATTTTTAGTTCAGAATTAAACACGAACCTTGTCATATTACAAGCATTTCAATAACCCACAACAAACTTTGCTTGAAAAGTCTCACCCAACAGTGTTGACACCCATTACTCTTCAGGAATCATTTTTCAGAATTCATTTACACACAATGTAGATTGTTTTGATTAGCAAGCTATGGTCTCACAACAGATAGAGCAGCAATCATGAAGCATACCTTCGTCACAATGGTAGATATATGATCGCGTACCGAATGATACGTCGCACCTGTATCGTTCAGTTTACAAGGTGTGTTAAGTGATATTATACATTTTCAAAATGTGCCTAAATAGTAGAATTTAGGAACGTGCTGAAAATTAAATATTTTTAGCCTACAGTTTTCTAAGTAGTAATTAAAAATTAAAATTTTTTTTAATATCTTTTTAAATTTTTAGTTCAGAATTAAACACGAACCTTGTCATATAACAAGCATTTCAATAACCAACAACAAACTTAGCTTGAAAAGTCTCACCCAACAGTGTTGACACCCAACTCTTCAGGAATCATTTTTCAGAATTCACACACACACAATGTAGATGGTTTTGATTAGAAAGCTATGGGCCACATGAGGTCTCACAACAGATACAACAGCAATCATGAAGCATACCTTCATCACAATCACATCAAGATTCCCAATATATTGAAGGTGTTATCAAATCAAAGAAACAAAAACAGCTGAACATAAGAATGAAACATAACATTCAATTAATTTATTTGACAATAAAATCCAACTTCAAAACCAATCTAACCCACTAAATTTCATTCAACTATAAATTAATGGTCCATTTGAACCCAAACAAGAAAGAAATGGGAAAATATGTCCATCATACTTCTTTGAACTCTAGGTAAGGAGAGATAAAAATTTAATAGTTTTTATGGACTCCAAAATCATAAAACAATTTTCAAAGAAATACAAAAACTATCTTGTGAAATTAGGTCTATCACCATATAAAAGTTTCCACAAAACTGTCAATGACACAAATTTTGAAACTATTTCAATTCTCTTAGAAATAACCATTATCAGAAAACTAAACCACGCAAACCTTGGTTCAACATTATTCCCGACTTCATCTTCTTGCGAATGTTATGGCAATAGCATTTTTTTTCTTTCTAAAATGCTCTTCCAAGGTTCCAATTCCTTTGTTCTCCTTTTACTTGGAGCCTGAACACTCGCCAAGCCAGCAAGCATTCAGATTTTCTCCAAGAGAAAAAATAGTTCCATTCAAGGGCATAGGTAGGCTGATAAGAAATGGATTGAGACAGTTTTGAGACTTCAAACAAGGCAATTTTTCCCATCTTTCTACAAAAGGGAAAGAAATAGCCCCGTCTAATAAGACACACTGCAACGAAAGTGTAGTTGGGGACATCCGATAACCTCATTGCAATTACCTGCTATGAGTAAAAGTATCCCCAAAAAATCATCTGAGCATCCCCCTGAAGGCATCCAATTTTTGAACACCATCTTCTTTTTCAATATGCATGAAAAATAGAACCATAAATATAATCAAACAATATACAGAAAAGGGGATACTAGTCAGTCTTTAAAGGGAAATGAACAAGAGAATGACAAAGGATAGCTACACTAGTGAGTAGGCATGTTTTCGCTATCAATCTGAGCTGCAAAAAGTTAACGCACATTAACAGTCTAACTATGCAGTCTTGAGGAGTCTCCAACATCCAGCTTGATAAAGGCCATCTTTCCCCATTAGGCAGACTTAAAGCTATCTTAGGTTGCCTAGAAAATGAAGGAAAAGAAAATGTTAACAGAATGTAATTAATTCAGTTAATGCAGAGAGAAAATCATAAAGACAAGAAAGCGCTGAAAAAAACATTTTCCAACAGTAGAATTAAGCATATTTCTTTCCCATGGTTGATAATGAAGGCAGAGGAAATCACAAAGGAAATAGGGAAATTTTCACTTTTGAGTTTTGACCTTCTACTATTACATCTTTAGCAGACCCAAAAATCCAATTTCTCTTCAGAAGTCTCCTCAACCCAACATTTTAAACCTACTACACCCCCACCAGGTCTAACACGTATTCCATTTAAAATTTTAAACCACCTCCACAGTTCGGTAGTGTATTCAGCCTTCTATTATATTCTCTCAAAGATAAGGAATGAAGTTATTTATTGTTTTTGTGCCGCAATTTGGGGTTGGGGGGAGGAAGGGACTGATCCCCTTAGATCAACCGACTAGGATTGTCCAGGGAGTTTAATCACTCAAACGACATATGTCTTAGTCGAATTATCTATTTGGATCATCAAGCTGGTTCAGCCAAACTAGTCGACTATCTTTAAACTCAGTTGCCTGCTTGTGACAAGATTCAAATGTGAACGGCTAGTTCAGCAGTCCCAAACAGTACCATTTGTGCCAAACGGCTATATTTCTAAATGGGACTATAAATACACCGTGTGATGCTCATTTCTATGTGAGAAGAATGTGACCAAGGAGAGAGACTTGTGTGAGAAAAGTATGGAAATCATATTCATCTATCTTGATTCCAATTCTACGATTGGAACATACATTTTATCATCCATTGTTTGTAGAAGCTATCATAGAGCTTTGTCATTGAATATCTTTCATTGGTCGCACCACTATTAAGTATAATCATGCATATCTACTTATAGTGGTTCTGAAATCCTAGAGATAAGATTTCAAATGGGATACATCATTTATTAACTCTAGGTGTGTGAGCTTCAAAGTTGTAAACCTATCTATCAAGAGACATCATTGTTATAATCGTGCTTCAACTCCTATTCTTGATAGTATTAGTGTCCAAGTACAACTTGGCTAGGGCAATTGGGTTTAATCTTGTCACAGGTTTACTCCCAACCTTGACGAGAGGGTTGGAGTTTTCTATTGACTTGCACGAAGATAGGTTTTCAATTGACCCGCAATCAAGTGGTGTAAAGGTTTTGCTCTTCACTTGCAAGAAGAGGGTTGATAGCGGATTGGGGATAAATCCTCAAATGGTGCGCTTGAGGCAAGGATGTAGGTGGAATTTTCCAAGCCTTGTAAAAATCGTTGTGTTAGCATTTCTTATCCCTAAACTCTAGCATTTCTTATCCCTAAACTCCTTACTTATTGTCTATGCATGTTAATTAGAATTAGATGTATGTTTAGATATGTTTAGTTAAGTTTAGATATGTTTAGTTAAGTTTAGATGCATGCTAGGAACAAATATGCTTCGAGGTTAAAATAGTTATATTAGTATGATAGTTTAATATATGGTGTGTGTTGGTATGTTTAGACTACTATAATTAGTTGTATGCATGTTTGCTATATACTTCGATTAGATATATGTCAGCACTCAATGGTAGTATAGTTTAGTCTAGATGTTTGATAGGATTAGTTAATGTAATCCTAGATAGCTTTTCATCACAACAAATTGACTTGACCTAATATATATGCCCATTAGAGTTATCTATATATATATATATATAGATGTACGTATTATGTGAATTCATCTTAGATAGCTTTTCATCACAACAAATCGACTTGACCTAATCAAGACACAAACCAATATCTAGAAACTAACTAAACTAGAATGAGAATTGGAATCCAGAATAAGCCCAAGTGTTCATCCTTTTTAGGAATCCAAGTAAGCCAAACCAAATCAAATAATCAACAATAGCATAAGCCTAAATATCCAATCTCTAGCAAGCCAGACCCTTGAATCATCTACATCAATCAACATAGAAACCAACCTTAGGAGTTCATCTTTAGATAAACAACTAGGCTCCAAGAACCACAGATAAAAACCATTAGGGTCCTAAATCACATGGTAAAGTTTGTTATAATTAATTGCTTTTGGTTCTCCTTCAAATAAAACAATGAAAAACAACCATCATACCAAAGGTTATGTCATCATGCTGCTGACTATATCCCACATGCAAAGACAACTAGATGGCAGCCATGATGTTTAATAGTAGAAAAAATATACTCCTTTTATCACAGTTTATTTGCTCTCTCCTACAACTCAAGCATATTATTATTCTAAATAGTTTCATTGTCACTCAAAAATACTAGAATGTTCACAAACCGTGACTTGAATGAATTCGCTCATCAAGCACTAGATCAGCCGGAAAACCCACTTCTTCGAATGGTTTAATTTGCACCCAAGAAAACATTGAAGCAACTATTTCCAAGTTTCCACAAGTACATCGGGCGTGGAATTCTAATTACTAGGCCATAACAAAATGAGATTAAATAAGTAATGCATAAATAATATCTTAAAATTATTTTATACAACGAAACTGATTAGTCATAGAGAGACCATCAATTTTAGTTAAATATTCACAATACCTTCAAAATTAGGTAGAGAGGTTTCTTACAGAAATCAATTTAAAAAAGGGCATAGCCCAAAGTGAAATTGAAATTGAAAAGGCCAAAAATTAGCGTTCTTACCATGTTAAACGGAGGAAAAATCTACTTTCAATGACATTGTACCTTACAATTCAATTTAACTTTAAACTAGAGAAACAAAAACAAAAGTATAGTAACATGCAAAAGCCAAAAAATTTAAAATAATGGCGGCATATAGAATATGGCAAGGACAATGATGACACATAATATGAATATATGGAAATTTAACAGTTAGAACCATCTATTTACCTGTATGGTTGATGACCCTCTTGAGTTTTCACCCTTTTTAAATTTTCTCTCAATCCAGTGGTAATAGGGTGAGACAATGCTCTCCACATATGACATTACTGCATCAAACGTAGTTGGCATGCCATGCACCATTATATACCTCAATCTCTTCTCTTTTGCATTGTATGCAACTAATTTGTCCCCATCCATTTCCAACAGAATTTCCCTATCTGGCAGTAAACACAAGGGTTCCACATTGTACGTAGGTAAAGAGATTGTAAATTTGGTCCAAGACTCGGTCACCCCGTACTCCTTCATCACCCAAAGATCAGCCTGGCTATCACTATCACATATAAGCTTACAGAGACACCCTCCAAGAACCCCCAAATCACTAGATATATTACACTCTTCAAATGAGCTCGGTGCCAAAATATCTCGAAATTTTTCGTCTGATACATCGAAAGCAGCAATCACAAGTGACTCATCTAAACACTTAAAAGTTAGCCAATGTATAGAACCATTCACAAAAACACCTGAGTTAGGCATGAGAGAAGAATGATTGTAAGGAAAATCTTGAATCCTCTTCCAAGAATTGGTTTTGAGTGAATAGACACTTACAAATGTATCTGAACAATACGCTTTACTGTTTTTGGGGAAAGACAACTGTGATTCATTGTCACCATAATCATAATCATCATCACAATCATCAATATCATCATCATCATCATCATCATCATAATCATAATCATAATCAGAATCAGAATTTTTAACATAGTATCTGCAGCTGAATCGTACCCAAATCCATACATGCAGCACCTAGTAGATGAATCGACGACAAAAAGGAAATTGGGTACTTTCTTTGACTCTCTAGTTGATGGATTCAACAAAAACTTGGTGTCTTCTTCGTCGCTAACTAGAAGCAAACCGTTGCAAGAAGCCAAGATATAGTTCAACAATTCTTGGTGTTCGATCTTGGGGAAATCAAGCTTGGTTGCAATCACAGCATCGTTAATGGATGCTTCAGTGCAGTCGATGGAGTAAAGTGAGTCAGGTGAATCAGAAATTAGAAAGAGTCTCTCGCATTTGTTGTTGATGCTCCGATTGAGGTGTGTTTTGGCGAAATGAGGGCTTGAGATTAGGGCAAACCATGACTTCGATACGCATTTGAATCGGCATAGAGACTTCGCGGGGAGTCGAGACAGTATGTCAATCATGACCTCGTCGAGAAGGATTGCGCCGTTCGACATCGCCACCTTCACAGAGTGATTCGGGTCGGCAGTTAGGGCTCAGTGATGTTAGGGCAAAGTTTGATCGACTCACTCTGTCCAGTGCACTTACACCCTCACTCTGTCCAGTGACGCCTGTTTTGGAGAAAGGTTTTAAGCTTAGGAAGGAAGGACACTTCTCCCAGGGGGATCATGTATCTGTGTCAAATATTTTTCGGACATAGACACCTATGTTCGAGGTTTGAATACGTGTTCAATATTTCTGTAAAGTGTCCAAATATTATTTTTTATTAGACAAAACTCCTCTCAGTTTCTCCTCTTCTCTAAATATATATATATATATATATATTTAAGTTACATGAACAAAACTAAAAGTATATATGTTTATTCATGTACATATTTAATTTATTATAGTTATGTCTCTTTTGCACATCTTTGTTTGGAATTTGGACCAACTTTATTTTTCATTTATTTTCTATTTTGTCTTGTCTATATTTTTTCTTATAACAGAGATGAAATTATTGAAATTGATTCTATTGTTTGTTGTTGCTTTATTTATCTGTACAAGATTCTAGTAATTATATTTTGAATATATATATATATATATATATATATATATATATAAAATTTTATAAGCATATCCCCACCGTGTCCATGTCCTATTTTTCTAAAATTTGCCATGTCGCCGTATCCATGTCGTGTCGTACCCGTGTTCCGTATCCGTGCCCGTGCTTCATAGGTTTTAAGGTTTTAGGATATACTAGAGAGAACACAAGGTTTGTTAAAAGGACACCCACTCAGGTTTGCCAATTTTAAGACTACTACGTCTTTTTGTGAAATTTATTATTAGTCTTAAAATGTGTGAAAAGTCTATTTTATCTTTCACTATTTTATTAATTTTAATTATAAAATATAAAAAAATTTAAATGATCAAATTACTCTTATCACCCAATCAATCCTACAACCAGATTCTGATGCCACCACCACACAAAAATCTACAACCACCACCATTCCCACCCCCAAACCACCTCTACCATTTCCACCCCAACAACCACCCCAGAAATTCACCCCACACCACCAATTAATTACAAAGCCAAACCCCCTCCCCCCAAAATAGATAAATAAAGAGTAATACTTGCATCTGCACAGGGAGGATGAGCTTCATCCTCTATGCTGACGTGGCTTCCTTATATGGTGACACGTGTCCGGAGTTAAAAATAATAATAAAAACATGGGTAATACCCATTTTGCAGGTCAAACTCGTTTTTTTACCCCCCCCCCCCCCCCCCCCCATCTAACTGCAGAAATGCCCCTTTCTCTCTCTAACTGCCGAAATGCATAAGCCAAATTGTTTGGGATATGAGGATTTGGCATTATAACTTTTTTTTTTTTCCTTTTCAAATGAAATAATGGATTCATTCAAAAAATAGATTTGTGTTCAAATAATTTTTATACCTATTATGACAAAAGATTAAGCTTGAGAAAACTGATCTTGCCTTTTTATGCTCAAAATTGGAGAAAGACGGAAGATAAGAACCCAAGAAAAAAATTTGTCACCCAAACTACATGACTGCTAGCCTCAACAGTATACCACAATATTTTACTCATAATCAGCTCAACACATTAACTGATTCAAGTTGCAAACTACATAGAAAATACTTAACTTGAATCTAGATTAATAAATGTGGTAAACCTTCCCATTCATGTAGAATAACAAACTGGATTAGTACGTTCAACCATATATCTAATAGACATCAATATGAGAATGAAAATCTAAAAACCACTTATAATCAAAACCTTCTTTATAATGTTCATTGTTGGGAAGGAAATACATGATAATTACCTCTTCACAGTAGCAAAAACTAATTCATTTCTCCTATGTAGCAATAGGATACAAAATATTACCTTCCCCCCAAAAAAAATAGGATACAAAATATTTAATCCATAGCATCCAAAAACTCCACTAAACATGCCTCAGATTGACTAACCAATTTTTATAAAAGTAACAAAATCCCCAGCATGCCCCAAAACTCCACCAAATAGGCATCATATTGAGTAACAAATTCAATAACTAACTATAATAACAAAAAGTAACAATCCCAGCATTCCCAAAAGCTCCACCAAACAGGCCTCTAATTGACTAACAAGGAGGAAATTTTTCAAACTGGTTGCTTTCTTGTGCAGCTTGTGAGAGGTTGTCATAATGGGACTCCTACAAGTATTGAAAAACTAAAATTATGAGAAAGTTAAAATAAATAAATCTACATCATTAATTTGTAACATTATCAATTATTCTTTTAGGATAATATAATTACCTGAAGTAATCTTGTGTAAAACATATTGGGTAGCCTACTTATAATTGCCTCAAAATTTTCATGATCATAGTTCATCATTGAATGAGCTGCGGAAGACGTCTCTGCTCCAAGGCCAATTTGAGATTCCTGTCAAATATAAATTAAGCAATAATTACAAAATTATAAAATAAAACATAAGCCAAGGTAAAGAAACACAACACAAAAAGAAATTAATTACCTGAGTAAACATATCATGTCTAGCTTGTTGCTCTTATGCATTCCCACTACTAAAAATAGGCTCCTATAATATCCATGGAAAATAAAAAAAAGTAAGTACAACACTAATTACACTTTAATTTATTTATAAATTTTAAATTATTTATCAAGTTTCATAAAATACCTCAGGGGCTTTTTGTTGTCTTGTTGAATCTTTGGTATATGATTTTTTTCTTCGCTTTTCAAATGCACCTTTTAATCGATTACGTGGACGTCCAATTGTGGCTTTTCTTTTAACCCCTATTGGCACACAATTCTTTGGTGGAGCTATTGTATCAACTTCCTCATTTCGACCAATTGAACTTTCACCACCATTTTCATTATTTGAGTAAAGTTTTTTCTTCAATTCCTCCAAGTCATTAAGCAACACGAGCACGATCATTTGCATATGCATACAACTTCTCATGTTCCAATGCTAAATATGAAATCTCACGAAAATTTCGACACAAATGACTATAACGCTTTCCCATAGACTCTTTAGGATTGTCATTGGCTTCAATTCCATGATAATTGGTGATAGTCCTTGCCTTTGCATCTGTTGTCCATCTTTTCACGATATATTGGGACGGAATCCTTTTTATATTCTTCTTATCCAACACTTTCAAAGCATGAACACATAAGATCTTAATAAAAGTGAACTTCATACAACTACACATGACTGTTTCTGTTGAAGCTTCAAAATTGACCACATGCCTTCAGATTTTCCAACACAAGATATTTTATATTCAACTTTTGTCCCATCCTTAGCCACTTTATACACATTGTAATCACCCAACCTCATGTACTCTTTCTAAAACAATTCAAAAACTTTCAGGGTATAGATTTGTACACTATGACGTAACATCTCCACGCTAGTTAATAGCACAGGCATACCTCACCTCATATTAAAATTTGCACGTAGTTCTTCATACCACCGATCATTCAAAACCCTCTTATAATGCTCAAAGAAACGCAAAAGATTATGACTCGGCTTCAAGTGATTCTTTAACAATTTATTCATACTTTCACTACGTTAGGTAGTTTTTATGTCCGCGGTGAAAGTATGTCGTCCGTAAACCATTGCCCATTTTTCTCTTATTTCAAATAACTCTTTCAACCATTTATTCTCTTAGAGACTGTTTTTTTCCAACATACTATTCCATGCCAATAGCCACTCATTTTCATCTTCATAATCGTACACACAATTGCTAAGGTCATAAGCAAAGTGATTTGATCTATTAAACACATGACTCAAATTCTTGGCTGCATTTTGATAAATATACCAAACACATAAACGATGTTGAGATTCAGAAAAGACAAGTGATATTGCTTTTGCCATTGCAGCAGATTGATTTGTCAGAATTGTCTTAGGCTGCTTTCCGAACATTGCACCAAGGAAAGTCTGAAATAACCACTTAAATGATTCAATGGTTTCATCGTAAAGTAAGGCTGCACCAAACACGATTGTTTGTTTATGATGATTCACCCCAATAAATGGTGCAAAAGGTCGACCATATTCATTTGTTCGATAAGTACTATCGAAACACACAACATCTCCGAATAGGCCATAGTCATTAAATGAGCGTGCATCAGCCCAAAAAATATTAGTGATCATATCATCTTCATCTACTTGCATTGAACAAAAATATGATGAATCCTTCAACTGCATTTTTTCAAAATATAAAATTGCTTCAGCATCTCCTCGTACCATTGGCATCTTTCGCTTTCTATGTATGTAATTTCGGTAATCCTTATCTAGAAAACCAAGATTTTTCCTCCCGCTAACTTCTCTACTCATCAAATCCATAGTTCTTTTTATTGGTAATCCTGACTTCTCAGCATCTTCAGCATGTTCTTTTTGAGCCTTTGAAATATTTTGATTAACTCTCATCATATGTTTCATTGGAGTTCTAATCAAGTCATGATTATGAATTTTGTTCAACGATACAACTTTGAATTTGCCATTGTTTTGAAGTCCACATTTCATATAAGTCAAACAACAAACTCTTGTAATAGGTTGATGGTACAAAGGAGTTTTGGTCTCTTTCCTTTTACTTTCTTTTGAACAACAAAAGGTAACCACCATAACGAGCCCCGCTGTATTTTTTCTCTGATGATTTCTCCTTACATCGAAACTAAGTTTGCGACCATAATTGAGGTACAACTTATATGTTTCATCAGATGAACTAAATTCCATTCCAAGTTTTGGTTCATCTCTTTCTTCTTCATTCTTTTTTTTTTTAGGAAAATTCATCAGTAGGAGAAGAATAATCATCATAAATTTCACAACTATTTGATATTTCACTACTTAAGCTTACATAATCTGTAAGACCCACTCTACCACATGGTATGATATTGTCCGCTTTAGGCCTGATCCCGCACGGTTGTGCTCTTAGGCTTTACTTCAAAAGGCCTCATGCCAATTGGAGATGACACACTTACATATAAGCACTTCACCTTTCCTCTACCCAGGCGATGTGAGACTGTATACGCGTAACTCGCCAGTGTGGTAGCCTGACAGTGTCTCTCGCACTCGCCCACGGCACACCCGCCCACAAGGTCATCACAATCCACCCCCCTTAGAGGCCCAACGTCCCCGTCGGCACACTTCCGGCTGG